AACATCTCATTGACTTAGAGTCAAAATATTCTAAACTTTACAACAAACACAAAAAGTTGAAAGGAAAACAGAAACAGATGGCATATGACATTTATGAAGATGTTAACGACACTACTATTCCAGCAAGTGAAGTAAAGTCAGATGAACCGAAAAGTGACGAAAAACCAATAGAAGAAGATAAACCACAAACTGAAGATAAACCAAAACCAAAGGTTAGTTTTCAAACTAAACCAAGTCAACCTTCATTAGCTGGTATGGGTTGGCGTCAAAGACTTTTGGCAGCAGGTGGTTACGTAAAGTAAAAAAAACATTTTTTTATTTTTATAAAAAATGCCCCCGTATAGAATAGATAGAAGGTCTGCTAGAATAAAAGCAGAGTTAGAAAGATATGGTTGGAGAGTTTCAAAGAAGTTTAAATATAGGAAGGGAAAGCCAATAAAAGTCTATGACAAACTGGCTGGTCTTCGCTACGAGATGGACTTGGAAACAGCGCGCACAAACTATCCAAACAGACTTGAGAGGTTAGAAGAAGAACGGCTTATGAACATGCCTTTCAATGTTAATGAACCTCAAGTTGAAGGACACGACGGCTTTGCCAGATTTTACTGGAAACATGACGAACAATTGAATCCTTTGAGAAGGAAAAAAGGAAAGGGTGAAGACAAACATGCTCCCATGGAAAGAACAAGATATGCATATGAAAAGTATCGCGAGGTTAGAAGTAAAATTGGTTCAGGTCGAACCTTTACAGTAAATTTTGACGAAGGAAAGAACAAAGAAGGCTTCATGGGTGTACTTGCTGCAATTCAAGACGGAAATAAGAAAGGATACAATCTCAGACTAACCGTAACAGATTTAGATGGTCATATATACTACTCACATGGCAATGTCACAACAGCTGCAATGCTTCTTGACGCTTTCAAGACTACAAAGAGAGAACAAATGGTTGACTCCGACTCAGACATCTTAAATGCAATTGAAGGAATTGCAAGCGTGAAGTTCGAATGGTTACAACCCAACCCTCAAGCAGTCAGACAACATGCTGGGTATTTCCCGTTCATAAACAAGTCTGACATTGACTTAACCAGGTATGGAATTTACAATTCAATTGAAAAAATTGTCAATGAACCTTGTATTCTTACATGTCTCAGGAACTCTGGTCTTGTTACAGATGAGAAAATGAAGTATCTTGAGTCATGTGTGAAGACAAGGTACATTCTCAGAAGTCAATTGACAAAAATTGCACCGTTGGCAAATGTGAATATCCGAGTCAACATTCCGACTGAGAAAGGTTCTTCGCACGATGACTATGTAGTTGACTTCAAATTGCCATGGTTGAAGATTGTACTTGTCCACAACCACTTCATGTTGAACGAAAGTCTTACACACCCATTGTTCGGAAAAGGCAAGTGCAACATTGTCAGAGCTGTTAACATTCTTTTCGAGAAAGGCTTGTTGGAACCAATTCCAGATGACAAGCTGACAGAAACTTTTGTACCAAAAGATGAAACAAATTTTTCATTGTTAGTGAGACCAAAAGTTGTTCCAGACAAAGTTATAGCACAAAAGAAGTACACAGCTCCACAAGGAGTTGGATTGTTCGGATACCAACCCGAACCAGAAGAACTTCCAATGAGGTTGCAAGAACTTCAAGATGCTATAAACAAACTTCCATTGAGACATTCAGTTGACGTCAAATTGTATTGGAGAGCATCAGAGTTAGCTCAGAAGATTTTATATGAAACAGGTTGCTTTGACGATGTTTATGAGATAACAGGCGAGGTTTCTCAGAAGATAAGAGACTCACTTGAATTTCCACGAACCGGGCCGATTGGATGCGATAAGTTCGACTCATACGAAAAAATATACTATGTCGACCTTAACGCTGCGTACATGAGGTTCGTCCAATATATCCCGACTGGAATTCCAAACGAAGATGGTGAGTTCCCGGGAAGGAACTATACAGTTGGAAAAGTCATACACAAAATCTATGATATTAGGAAAGCTTCAAACCCCAAACTTGCAATGACATCAAATTGCTTATGAATTCGACATGGGGTATTCCATTAAGAAACCTCAAAAGATGAAGAGTAAACACTATGAGAAGGTCGACAACTTTGTTGAAAGGTTTTCTCCTTTTGTTTTGAAATACGAGTTCACCGAAGGTCAAAATGGCTTAGTAACCACAGTAAAACCTATTGTCGAACATTGGTCTTATCCTCAGTTCGCAAAGGCAGTCCTTGACAACTACAACAAATTTTTCTCAGAGGTTAAATCCAAAGTGAAGGTATACTATGAGAACATTGACGCACTCATGACGAACGAAGAAGGATACAACAAACTCATTGAAATGGATTTAGTCGGTGAGAAAATGGGCTGTTTTAAGCTAGACAAGGTATTTTCCGAAGTTCATGTTCTCTCCAAGCGTAAGTACTGGGCGGTTAAAGAAGACGGCACAGAAGTAAAACATTGCATGAAATAAAACATTGCATACCATTTTAAAACATTTTTAAAACAGTATATTTTTACATATATAAAATGCTTCAGGTTGAAAAACAAAGAACAAAAGTAGCAGATACAAAACCGTTAGACTATATCTTTACAAATGCCGGTAGGAATATATCAGATGAAGAAATTTCATCCGGAGCATATAGATTTAACTATCCAATTCGCTGGCTTCAAAGTCCTTCAGATGCAAAGGCAATAGGATTTAGAAGAGTTTTGTTTTCAAATAGAACTAACGCTTTTATGTTTGCAGTATATTTTCACGGTCAGTATAAAGGTTCTGATGGTCTAATAGACAGATTTGACGAAATGAGAATCTTTACTATTCGTTCAGACGAAAGTCTTGAGAAAACTCTAAATGACTTTCAAACTCAAATGAACAAATACTACTGGGAATTTCAAGAAAAATACGACTCTTTACTAAATGGAACGTACTATCTAAAACTAGAATACGATAAGATGAACTCCACCGTTTCATTTCAAAGGATTGAAAATAACCCTCCAAGAGATACACAGTTTTTATATTGGGGAGTAGACAAACGTTCTTGGGCACAATTTCTTCGGTTACTAAACCAGAACGAACCATTGCCACCTGACGGTCCTTTTAAATTTATACGTCCACCAGCAGATTTGACAGTTTATAGAAACGTGTTCGATCCTCAAAATGTCATGTGTCATGCAAGTTTCAGTTCAAGCAACAACAGTTTTCTTTGTATCGGTAAGGACTTTTATGACTTTGCTTCTAAATTCTACGAACCACCTAGTAACAGTTTCTCTGACTTTCAAGTCTGGTTCACAACAAACGGTGTGCAGCATATAATACCATTGTACTATGACTTTTATCTCGAATTGTCTTTCATATACAACTACGGAAAAGTGCTGAAAAAGTATTGAAAAATATATTTTAGGTGAAGAGGTGAGATCTCACCTGTTTTCTCACCTCTTTTCTCACCCGTTGAATTTTGGTTGAAAAAAAGAGGTCGAGCCACAAACGAATGTCCGACGGTTAAGCCACAAACGAATGTCCGACGGTTAAGCCACAAACGAATGTCCGACGGTTAAGCCACAAACGAATGTCCGACGTACCACACAAAAATTATTTTTATTTTATTTCGGGAAAATTCATGAAAAATTCAACGCGGTGAGAAAAGAGGTGAAAAAAGAGGTGAGATCTCACCACTTCACCTAAAAAAATATTTTTTATTTTTATTGTAAAACAGTATGACAGTCGAAGCAAAAACGTTCACGAACAAATCTAATGGCGAAACATTCACAAAGGCACCTATAACGGTATGAAGTCTTACGTAGAGACAAGGATGGTTATATAAATGCAACAAATATGTGTCAGCAGTTTAGGAAAACTTTAAGAAAGTTGTTGGAAAAATAGTCCTGGAAGAGTATTTTAAGCATTTTGTGAAGAATATACCACCCGCCGGAATTCCGGCAGGTGCTTTTTATACAATGTTAATGCAGGAATTCCCGATGAAATCAAACAGGTAGAGGAAACGTATGTAGACCCAAGACTTACAAACTATATAGCAATGTGGGCTTCTCCAAAATATTGCATAGCAGTTGGAAAAATTCTGGACTCCATAGACAAGAAAGTTCATGAGAAATTAGATGAAGAAGAACTTGAAGATACAGTAGAGAATGCAAAACCTTTGTTCGAAGAAGAAGTTAGAAAAATGCATGAAAAACAAATAGAACATGAACGTGAGATATGTTCTGGTTATAGAGACTCTCCATACGAACTAGACCAATGGAACAAGAAGATTTAAAGAGAGAATTTAGAGAATATGAACTCGCTAAAGTTTCATTAGAAGCTGCAGAAGAGAGGTTAAAAGGTTGGGGTCCTTTTGTACAAAATATTGTGAGTAAATGAACCATTTTATTTTATTGAATTCGGCACAAAAATATTTTAGTTAGATGGTTTTTAGGTGTCACTACGTCACCAGGTCACTCGGTCACTCGGTCATTTAACTTCTCTGAAAAAGTGTGACAACATGACATTTGACAACAACACAGGAGATAGATTTCTTCGTCAATGTTTTGTATAAAAAGCACCGCCGGAATTCCGGCAGGTGGTATATTCTTCACGAAATGCTTGTTTTGTCAAGACTTTCATCGTACATGTTTTGTATAAAAAGCAACCGCCGGAATTCCGGCAGGTGGTATATTCTTCACAAAATGCTTGTTTTGTCAAGACTTTCATCGTCAATGTTTTGTATAAAAAGCAACCGCCGGAATTCCGGCGGTTGGTATATTCTTCACAAAATGCTTGTTTTGAGGTTAAGCCAAAAGTGGCTCCACCGTATTTTTCAACCAAAACTCGTTCATTTTGTTGTTCCCGGACCAAAAAATATATTTTAGGTGAAGTGGTGAGATCTCACCTGTTTTTTCACCTCTTTTCTCACCCGTTGAATTTTCATGAATTTTCCCGAAAATAAAAAGTTAGTTTTTTTAAAAAAAATATTTTTTATTTTTATTGTAAGAACATGTTAGCAACAACAGCACCAAACTCGTTAGTCATGAACCCAACATCTATGTTAGTAGAGATGAAAAGCTTCATTCCTTCTTCATATACTTTCGAAACAGAAATCCAGAAGATAAAGCAAGAACTTCTCCAAGGAGTTTTAGACTGTAGTGCAAAAGATGAAACAAATGAAGAATATCTTTATGAAATGCAGGATATTATTGACCATCTACCTAAACTTCCTGAAATACAACAACAAAAGCTTACTATTCCAGAATTCGATGAAATAGAAGTCAAACCAACTGACTCAGTAGAAACCAAGAAGTTCATACGTAAGGTAAACTATGAGTTTCTTGGATTTCATTGCAACCACAAAGTTATGGACAAAGATTGCGATATGTTATATAAGAACATCTCTGACATATACAAATCTGAAGAATTTAAGACCTACGACAACTTTGTTTCGTTAGTTGCAAAATGTGTATGGCAGATAAGAGATAAAGATAAAAGAGGTAAAGTATGGAACGAACAGATAAAACCAGCAACTTTTGAGTTAAAGAAAACCATTGACGCCTTAGTCATACTTGCAGGTTTTATTTCAATGTACAATGCTAAAATGAACCCACAATGTTCAAAATGTAAAGCAGCAATGAGGAAATATAACTACTCCGTCAAAGAGATAGAAAGAATGCGAAACGACTATGCAGATTTAAAGAAAGAAGCAGAGAAACCAGCAGAAGATAAAATGGACATGTTGACATTTCTGAACAAAAACTATCCAACAGCTGACGATTTCCTTCTATCTGATGTCAAGAAGAAATATAAAGAAACATTCGGCATAGTTAAAACTTTTGACATACTGACAGAAGAAATAGAAGCTACAAAACTGTTTAGAATTTCAAATATACATCGTACAATTCATGTAAAACGCTTGTGAAAAAGAGGTGAGAAAAAAGGTGAGAAAACAGGTGAGATCTCACCTCTTCACCTAAAATATATTTTTGCTGAGTAAAATGACCAAATTTCATTATATAACTGTTATGAGTGACGAAGTGAACTTTGACACTTCGTAAAAAAACTCTATGAAATCATATCTTTTATACAAAATTCAAGAGGTGACACCTAAAATATATTTTTGTCTGATTTACGCTCATTGACGAAGAAATCTCAACAAAAACATTTACGAAGAAGTCTATTTCCTGGACTGTTGTCAAAATGTCATGTTGTCACCGTTTTCAAAAAGATGTTAGTTGACCGAGGGACCGAGGGACCTGGTTAGATCTAAAATATATTTTTGCTGAAAAAAATGACCAAATTTCATGAATTTCCTCATATGTTTGCTACCCCGACTTTTACAGGGGTTGCCTAAAACTCTATGAAAATCGTAAAAAAACTCTATGAAATCATATCTTTTATACAAGATAGAAAAAATAAAATTAACGCTAGTTTTTTTAAAATATTTTTTTTATTTTGTATGTAAGAACAGGAAATGACAAACACTGAGTTTGAAACAGTTAAAAAGATAGACAATGAGACCAAAGTGGTTAGAATTGGTGATTTAAACGTAAGATACTCAAAGAAATACAAAAAATATTCTTTGTCAGACATTTTAACACCATCTGGAAAGAGAGCAAAGGACTGGGTTAAAAATGCTTCATCTCAGAAAATTTTGACAAGAAATCCTGAGCTTTTGATATCGGTAAGATTTCATGGAACTACAGCATATCTCATCGACAAAAGTCTTATACCACTAGTTTTGTTCTGGATTGACCCAGTTGTTGGATATAATTTCATAACATATGGTTCATTCGATACTGAACGTTGCAGTGAGGGCTTACTTTACATCGTTCAGAAACCGAAGGACTTCAATACAAAGAGATATAAGATAGGAAGAACATTTAATATAAGTAGTAGATATGACTCTACAGTCAATAGAGTTAAGGTTGTGTTTGTAAATGATATGAGAGCTGCTGAAACAGAACTGCTTGAAGTTTTTGAGAAAAGGTATGGTGCTCCCACGAAAGGTAAAGAAACGTTTGAAGTAGATGAGATAGATAGTGCTATAAAATTATTTGACGAAGTTGCTGAAAAATACATGTAAAGCGTTTATTTTTCAAGCTTGACACCAAAGATGGCTCAGGTAGCTCTAGATGGTAAATTGTCTTGTCAAATCCTTCTGGCATTCCGAGTCCTTCCTTCTGGCATTCCGAGTCCTTCCTTCCGACAGGAAAAGTTTTTCTTTCCGACAGGAAAAGTCCTTCCTTCCAACAGGAAAAGTCCTTCCTTCCGACAGGAAAAGTTTTTCTTTCCGACAGGAAAAGTTTTTCTTTCCAACAGGAAAAATTTTTCTTGTTGTCCGTCCGTAAACCATTCAAATTTTCGAAAATTGAGAACTTTTTGGCCGACCTTCAGGAAAAATTTTTCTTTCCTTCAGGAAAAATTTTTCTTTCCTTCAGGAAAAATTTTTCTTTCCGACAGGAAAAGTTTTTCTTTCCGACAGGAAAAGTTTTTCTTTCCGACAGGAAAAGTCCTTCCTTCCGACAGGAAAAGTCCTTCCTTCCGACAGGACACAAACGAATGTCTGACGTACCACCAACCGAGTCCATTCCAAAGCCAGAAGAACCGACAGCCCCAGCACCACAACAGACTAAGACTCAAACACTTACATTTTTACGCTTGACTTTTTACAATTTGAACTTTGTTTGCGTAGATATGAATTCTGAAAGAAGTATGAGGGTCTTGTATGACTTTGTACTTCTCCCATAGTTCATGTCTGTCAAACTTACCTGCCATGGACTCTTTCATAAGTTCCATGAAATCGTCTTCGGACAATCCGGGGAAAAGTACAATGTCAGTAAGTATTCTCTTTACATCCTTACTTAAACTCTTGGCTGTCTGTACACAAATGACAACTGAAATGTTAAAGTGTCTGAGCTTCTTAGAATTCGACACATGTCTTGTTCTCTGTTCTTTAACAAAGGATGAGAAGCAAAGTCATCTAAGATAAGAAGACATCTATGAGGGTAAGTCTTCCAATCGTAAGATTGCAATTTCTTCGAAATGTATTCTATCTCTTTCTGTTTGTTTCTGAAGTGTTTCTTCTCTAATATTCTCTGCATTTCCTCATTTGGGTCTTTAAACTTAGAATTGACATACTCATTTATAGCATTGTACTTCAAAACTCTTCTTTGGTACTTCTTTATCCAATCTAACAACTCAGATCTTTTATACATACTAACTTAGACTTTTTTATAATATCTTTGAACGAATTGACGGTTTGGTCAAATTGACCAGAAGTACTACAAATGACTACTAACTCATAGAATGGGTTCTTCTCATCTAGTTCTTGTTGTTGTGCAGCCATTTTAAGATAAGTGAAAGTCTTACCCGACCCAGGTGGTGCATTAGACCTGTTATACCATTCTGAGCAAATAAGAACTTGTCATGTATGGGTTTTATCTGAGCATTTTCCAACTTCCTCTTGTTCTTGTTTAAAACATTCTCAAATTTTTGTCAATGTCAGCAAACTTTTTTTCTAACATATTTTAGAAAAATTAAAATTTTTATCTTTTAGGAAATGTCTAGCGATTTCGCTATCTATATTCGAGACAAGCTTTTCGACAGCAAAACATCTGTCGACCATAAAATCTTACATAGTGTAAACAAGAAAGGTGAATTTGTTCTAAAGTTCTGTTTCTGGGAATATGACAAGAACCATAAAACCTTAAGCAGAGAAGTCTTAAAATTTGTCAATGACAGACTTGTTGACAGAGATGACGCCTCTTGGAGAGATGAAGTCCAACAAAACTTCTTAGAATGCAAAGAAGACACATGCGCTGTTCTTGAAAATGAAATAGAAACAGAATAGAAGAGCTATTAAAGACAAAGCACTTTTACAAAAATATGGTTCTGAGAAGTTTGACATAACATCCACCAGAAAAGAAGAAGAGAAAAGAAAGAAAAGAAAGTAGAAGAAGAGAAGAAAGAACCAGAGCCAGAGAAAAAGAAATTTGACATGTAAAAATAAAATTTTATTTTTAGAACATTTCTGGGTCAATGTCAATGTTCTCTTCCTCTTTAGGAGCAAACACTGGCTTAGACTCTAAAATCTTTTTACCCAATTTACCTTGAACTTCAACTATCTTAGACTCATAATATTCATAGTCGTCTGCTTTCTTTGGTTCATAAGGTATAACAAGTTTGTATGCTTTGCCTTCTTTAAGGTTTGAGAACCTTCTGTCAAAACTTTCTTTGACTGTTAACAAACCTTCTATGTCTAAGTCTTCAAATTTCGCACCATTTTTAGTCACAATAGCAAACTTAACTGGTTCGATGTTCCAAACTTTGTCAAATGTAGACTTTTCAAAATGGTAGAAGTAAACATTCAAATATGTGAATGGGTCTAGTTCTTCTTTGTCCTGACATATACTTGTTGACTGAGATGAATTTCGTCATCTTTTCTATCGGATAAAAAAATATTTTTTTTAAAATTTACTCAGAAAAATTTTTTTTGTATATACACCATTCTGTACGTCTAAAAGACTTTTGACATTTGCCAAGAATGTTCGTTTAGACGCTGTCATATAACCATACTCTTGACAATACTGTTTATACGAATCGTACAATGACCTTTCATCTAAACACTCAAAGTCAGTTTCATCTATAAACAGTTCATATACACTCTTGTTTGCTTCTAACAATGTTTGTCTCTCTTCGGTATGTGGAATTTGTCTTGGATTGAACTTTGAAATATCTAATGTCATGAAATATGAGAACAAGTGGTTGTAAAAGTTAGGTGTTAAAGTTTCTGCTAAGTCGTCAAAATATTCTGTATCTTGCATATGAGCTTCTGACGTTCTGACAACTACATATCTTCTGTCAGAACTTTCTAACTTCATCGGAACGGCGTTGTTTGAAACCATGATGAAATTTGCAACATTTTCACAAACTCTTTGGTCTTTATATTTTCTTTCAACAACTCCAACTTTGTCTGTTATAAGACTCTTCAAAGCATCCGAGTTCAAAACTTTTGTTGTATCTATACTTTGAAGTTCGTTACATACTATAAGTTTCATATTCTCTATTGAAGAGTTAAATTTACCGCAGATGTTTTCTAAGTTTGTCATATTCGGGTTCGAATAGCCTCTAACAGTTTGCACAAAATCTGTAAAGAAAGTGTTCTTACCTGTTCCTTGTTTTCCAATTACAATGAGAGCAGTTTCATTTTTAGCACTTGGATGTTGTAAGATGTTTGCAAACCAACATAAGATATACTCATAGACTCTTTCGTTTCCATTGCATATAATTTCTTTGACATGGTCTAACCAAGCTTCTATAACATTTTCTTTCCATTCTACTTGTTCGTATTTATATCCAGTGAAGATAGAATAGAAGTTTGGAGATGGTGTATAGAACTTTATACCACGAACTGAAAAATCTTCTAACTTTGACAATAAGATATCCCAAGCATCTAACATCTTCATGCCAACTTGTACGACTTTTATTTTCTTAAGTTTCTGTTTACATTCTTGTTCTGAAACTATTGTCGCTTTAGGTTTGTTAAAGACTACATCCCATTCTTTCATGACATAACATTCTGGGGCAGAGTCGACATAAATGACTAAACGTTTCAAATTCTCGACTGCTTTGTTATAGTCTCGAAATGGACACATATTTCTGAACGCTTGGAAGTCATAAAAATCTGAAACGTCTATTCTGTACATTTTTTTATAAAAATAAAAAAAATATTTTTTTTATTCTTGAGCTATTTGTTGTTGCATTTGTTCCATTTGTTGCATTTGTTGTTCTTGAGCTATTTGTTGTTGAAGTTGTTCTTGTAGTACAATACTTTCACCAGTTGCATCTTCCAATTCGAAACTTTCTGCCGTCATTGACAAATACATAGGACATAAAAGTTTTACAGGAACAAAGTTTGCGTCAACTAAGGTTAAGTTTATGTTTGCTAAAGTGTTTGAGTTTACTAAAGCTGAAAACTCTGCATTCGAATGAACAATAGGCAAACCAGCAGAGAAAGTGTTGTTTATACGCATGAGTATCTTTTGGTCATAGTAGTTTCTGTCGACATTCGAATAGCACTTTGAACCTAAGTTTGAAACAATATATAAAATAGGTGTACTTAAAGTCAATGGAACAGACATTCCTTGTATGACACCTTTTCCTGTTATAGGAAACTGTTGGTAGTAAAAACCAGATATAAGTTTTGTATTATAGCTCATATCGTTTATACTAAACTCAGTCGGACATCCAAACATAATGAAACCTGCTCTAGTTGCAGCACATGTTACATCCGTCCTTAAAGTATTAAATAAGTCAACAAAACCTGTTGGTGGTATATCTGAGTAAGTATCTTCAAAGAAGTATTTTTTACCATTCACAACAACAAAGTCTTCTGGTGTCAAAAGAGCAAAACAGGCTTTAGTCGTCATCGTGTTTAAGGTCAGTTTACAATATCGTCCTTGAGGACTTTGTAAGTTTGTTGTTATAGAATTATATGACTCAGGGTTTTTAGTCGTAATAGTATAAACCACTATGTCTTCTGCCATTTACATATATTTAAAAGTTTTTCTGAAAGTGGAGAAGAACTTCATCTAAACTTTCACATGGCGTTTCTTGAAGTTCTCTGTCTAAGAAGTTCAAATATTTTGTAAAGACATAGAACTTTCCTTTGTCTACACGAACAAACAAAACAGGGTCTTTCATATCGTTCAAAAGTGTGTAAAGTCCTTTACATGAAATAAAGTCTATATTGTTTTTCTTCAAACATCTTTCAAGAAGTTTTGACATTTTTACTTAGCAAGTAAATTTTAATGAAATGTTGTGGTCGTCAAATATTTTTATGACGTCTGGGAAACTATATTTTAAGTTCAACGTTTCACCTCCTTTCATAACGTATATCTTGTCAATGACATTATATGAAACACCACAGCAAGCAATGTCGGGTTCTATTTCTTTGATGTTTATATCGTCTGCCTCTGTCAAAAGTTTCAATAGTTCTTTCAAAATTTCATGAGGTGCGATGACATATGAGTTCACTTTTACAGGGTTGTGCTCAACCAAGTTTAACATTATACCCAAAGCTGACAAATCTTCTCCTGAGTTTTGTTTGTCTTTAAGTTGTTGGTAGTCGTTTCGAATATCTGCAACAGAACTTAAGTCTCTGCTAACTTCAGGGTATGTTGGTTGTTCTTTTACAGGAACTATTGTTATACCATCTTCGTCTTCGTATGGTTTCCCCACTTCAACATCTCTTCTTTGACATTGACAACAACACTTTGACTGTTTGTTTGAGTTGGTGAATTTAACTTCACATCTGCCATCGCCATTAAACCTTTTGAAACACTTACGCTTCTATTTTTCGGAAATGACATTTTACTTAGAATAAAAAGATGGACGTATTTGAGTATCTCTTCGAATTGAAGCAAAACAAAGTTTACACACACAAACAATACAAGTTCATTGATAGAGTAGTTCTTTATACAAACAATGGAAAATGTTATAGAATAGCAGTCTTTGCTGAACCAAAATATTTTCATAAAGCAAAGAAAGTTGGTATAACCGAAATGGTGAAAGTTCTTGAAGCAGACAAAAATATAACAACAAAACTGACCGATATTTCTAAAGGTAAGTTTATAATACAATATTATATCAAAACTGGCGTACTGTCAATATTTGACGGAGAGAAGTCAGTTCAAGAACAACTTACTGACCTGCTGCCAAATCTGCTCGATGGAAGCTGTCGTTATACCAATCTGAGGAGCCCCAGCAGGTTTCATCGAACGAATCTTCAAAAGAGCATCTTCCGTGAAAAGTGCTATTGGTTTTGTAAACTTCTTTGCTTTCAATTCATCTGGACCGTCTCTGTCACCAGTATATTGTATTTGAACTGTACCAACAGTTGAAATACCACCCATAAAGTCTTCTGAGTCAGCAAATGGAATGCCAAGCCAAAAGTTTGAACGGTCTCCATTTGTATATTGAGTTTTTTGAGCTCCTGTATGGTCCATACTTTCACATATGGCATAATAGAACTTTGCATTTCAGGGTTAATGGTTGTTGTGAAGTTGTTGTTAAAGTTCATAGCATCTAATGTCAAGTTGTATGACCTCATATCCTCAACTGTAGAATATTCTTCTCTTGGATAGTATTTGCCATCTATGTTTATATGATATTTAATACCGGGGTTGTAGAAACAAGAATAGTCATTTATAGTTCGTCTGAACAGTACAAACATAGTATCTGCATGTTTCATTGCAGTTGTTAAGGCAATATCTGTTCTTGCACCTGGGTCAGCACTTTGGTTTCCAACTTCACCTGCAAAGTCTTTGACAGATATTTGGTGTATAGGGAACATAAGTGGAACTGCAATATATTTGGCAGCTAAAGCATTTGAAATATCTGGGTCCAACATATAGACTGCAAGTCTGCTTTCTATTCTCTTGCATTCAAACTTTTCGCATGTGAACTTAACTGGGTCCCAAGCAGTTCCAGCAGCATTGAAGTGTAGTTTACTTCAGTGTTGAGGTTTGAGAAACCAAAGTCTAAGTCAATTTTGTCTTTGCAAAAGTCACAGAACTTGGCTCCACCAGTTCCAGCTACAGCAAGTGAATGGGTCTTGTGTTGGTGCAATGACTAAGTTATTTTTGCTTGGAGTAAGTTCGATAGAAATTTTTCCTGCCCAGTTTGGCAAGTATCTTAAAAACCTGAAGATGAGGAAAGATGACAAAGGAACTCTAAGTTTCAATTTTACTTTGGTTACTGCTGCTGCAGTTTGTCCAGAAAGGTCAACATAAACTCCTGGAACGTTAGGGTCAAGTCTTCTTATTTTCTATTCTCTTTTTTTCAATAGTTGCTACTGGTCTGTTTGTTCTCTAGCTTGTGGTTGTACTGAGTTTCTCAAAGCGAACCATTCATAGTTTGCCCATGTTACTGTTTGAACTAAGTCAGAGTTAGAATATATCTTATATCCCATGAAAACTTCTGGAGCATATTGGTATCCGACATAGAAAATTCCATTGCAACCTTTCTTGTCAGACAACTTGGCAGAAGGTTTTATTTCAATGTCTTGTTCCACGTATAAGAAAGAGTTGTCAATAGAAATTATATGAAACCTGTCGCAAGCAATATCTACTGTTGTTGAAGAACCTTCTCCAAACTCACCTACGTTTCCATAAGAAACAGCAGTTGTATATTCGTAAGTTCCAGGAACTATTTCTGACCTTCTAATGGCATTGTCGCATTCGTTATACCATTCGGAAACATTTCCATTCATAGCATCCAAAACTGTTGGCGTTATATTCTGAGCGGCGTACATTTCATATGAGTAAAAATATAGAATAGTTGGATTTATATGTCATAATAGAACCCACGTGGACCAAGCTTTACTTTCTTCCTGACTGAGTTTTTAACTCTTCTTTTTCCTTCATTGCCACTACTTTCACTTTGTTCTTCACTACTTTCACTTTGTTCTACTCTTCTTCTTTGGTGTCGCTTTGGTAACTTGCCCTCTGCTTGAAGTTGTTGCATCTTTGCATTATGTTCATCTAGTATGTTGCAAATTTCCCATGTCCTTTTTGCCTTTTGGCTCTGGTCGCCCATCTCAGGTAACCTATATCCTAGAAAGAGTTTGTCATAGTCTGTATTTGAGTCTTCGCGTATTGTTTGCATGACTCTTTCCTGAGTTTCCGGTTCAAGCTCTTCAAACAGAGCCTGTCCATATGGAATAAGCTCGTTTCCAAATATATGTTTTTGTAGCCATTCTGGTTTTCTTTCCATGTTACCAACTATATCTTTTGTGAATGGGAAAGCTTTTACCCAACGTTTCAGTCTTGCGTCGTTTATTTCTGTAGTTGGTTTTATTTTGTCAAGGAACATGTTTTTCAATACTAACATTTCATTTGGTACTGTCCATTTGAGTTTTCTTAAATATTCATCCCTTCTCGGTTCATCGTCTGCAAAGTAAGTTTTTATGACATTTTGTAAACTTTCGTTTGCAAGGTCATGTACAATAGGTTCTCTTCCTTCTCTCTCCCTAACTCTCTTTCTAAACTCTTCACCAAATATACCATCTCTATGGTTCTGTGTAGTTCTTTGAGATAAATGTTTTAGAACGTCAGGTGTTATATTTCCATCAGCCATGTTCATTTCATACTGGTCCAAAATATCTGCATGTTTCATATCTTTCAATGGCATTAAAGCCGCGCTGAAAATACCAGCTATATCTGGTTCACGATTGACTTCCATTGCGTCTACAACTTCTTGGAATTGTGGTTGTAAGTTTATGAACCACCTATCCGGGTTAGCTTTATGACCCCATCTCATTGTAGTTCCATAGTCTGCAGAAACAAAAGTAGGTTTGTTTCCATCTTGGTTAGGTTCTGAATGAACTTTAAACAATGTTTCATTTCTATATGTTTTGTTGAAATTTAACCTTTTATCTTCACCGAGTTCATCCGAAGATTGAACGTTATATGGTCGTAAGTAAAAAGGGTTGTTGTATTTGTGTACATTTTCTTTCAGTACTTCCATTCTATGCTGAATATTTTCATCTGGTGTTGGAGTCTTTTGTATGTCGGCAAACATTTTTCGATATTCTTCTACTATGTCAGCCGAATTTTTTTTAGACTCTTGGAAATATTCCATATTCTCCGCATACTCTTGTTGAGGGTCAAGATTTTTCGGCTGTTCCAAATCTTCATCTAGTTCT